TACTGTCTGGAAATAATAACAAAGATATACAACTTCAATTTTTTTCTGTATGCTATTCACAGTCAGGATCTTTTTCAAAATTTTGCAGCTTTTCAGCAAGTTTGGATTAGTAGCTTTTTTTTTAGTGAGTCAGTGGTATGAATGAAGAGACAATGCGAAGTGTACATACTTCAGACAAGTTCATGGGCAACCCATAATGGGCAACCATCAGAAAACCCATTTTCTGATGAACTACAAAGTTGATTTTGGGGTACTGCCTTGTTCTTAATAGATTCGTAACAGAAGTACAGATGAACATTTCATATTCATATGGATTTAATCTGAAATCTTCTATCTGCATCATGTGAAAAATGAAGTAGAATAATCTTCGTAAAAATAACAAAATAGTGTATAAAATATTTTGGTAGTTTTCCAATTTGTTTCTCAATTGACATTCAGCTTCTAGATTCTCTATGTATTTCCCTGGATATAGAAGACTTTACAATTTAAGTTACGTGGCATTTAAGCTGCTGAGAACCTTTGAGCTTGCAATAGGTTGTAGCAGTTACTGTCACATGCCAAGAAGAGCCAAGTGACAAACCTTATGGTGTCATTTAGTGTTACGTCAAAAAGATGGCCGAGAGATGGATCTAAGGGTTGCTAAGCCATTAAGGCATTACTTTTCTAAATTAAGCTCATGTACCAATTAAAACAGGAAATAATGTCTCCAGAACTTGCATTTATTTATAGCTTGCTGTGGACAAACATATTGGCTTTATTTTCTCTGTAGACATGAAAAATTGTGTATTAGCTACAGAAAAAGGTTTCTCTGCACACCATGCTCCACAGTGTTGGCTGTTGAATATTTGATATATTAATACATATTTATATTCTCAGGTTTGGACAGTGATTGTAAAGTCAGGCAGATTTAGTGCCTAAAATAGTTTATAGCCTCAGAGAAAAGTGTCAGTATAAAAATAATCTTTTTGCCTTATTTCCTTATACAGTATTTTTTTTCTTTCTGAAATCAAACCTGAGATAGAATAAGAAAAACAATCACAATCTGTTTGAACCTATACCCTGTCTATTCTAAATCCCTATACTAATAACATAAGAACAGAGATGCAGACATTCCATACTTATGAAATATATTTTGAAATATTTCTCTTCTACCTTGTAGATAAATATAACAAGATGTAACTGAGACTATCACAATGAATATTCACCACTGTATATTCTGAAGTGGCAGCTTTTAGTTTAAAAGCCATCATGGCTGCATGTAGTTTAACTGTTACTCATGACTTTTTTAAGTTTTTGAGACAGTGCTTCATTTTAACAAGTAGACTGAAATATGTGTTTTTTTACTTGGATAATGATATACAGAATCATTTGTGATTCTCTCATTCAATGGCAGGGACTGAAAATGTTTAAAAAAGATACCCAATGCCAGTATGGTAACAAAGTTAGCCAGAATTGATATGAATATGCACTTGCCTGGACACTTCATCTTTCTCTGAACACTGACCAAGGATCTATATATTTTATCTACCTTGAAGTCTCTAGTACTCTTCTATGCAGTCTGGAGAGAAAGAAGGAGAGCTCTCAGTGGTGATAGTAATACTGTGGTGCTCAAGGCAAGTCTGCTTTCAAAATCAAAGAGGGTCTGAGTAATTATTGCTGAACTGCAGAAATCTGATTATATACAAGATTCAAAGGATAGAAACTATGGCAGTAGTGAGTCTTACCTGCAGTGGTCTCATGCAGCACATCTTGAACTGGTTTAATCTTCAGTTTCAACTGCATTGAGTTATTTGGGTCAGTTTAAACTCAAGATGCCCTGGAGACAATCATGACTCTTGATGGAAATTATTATGAATAATGGGTCTATTTGACTATAAGTAGAAAATATGTTCCCTGTTAAATTACTCTGTTACCCCAGGCAAGAATATTATTCTCCCAGCTTTTTCCTGTGACCTTCTTCCTTTTCTCCTTGTGCGCTTCCTCCAAGGGCTGCTCTGCCTCTGGTTTACCTCATTTTATAGCTCCCCTTTTGTCTACATGTTGCATTGCAGAAGTTGGAAATTATCACAGACCCTTTGTTTTGGGTTTAGGCTATAACTAAGCTAGGGAGGGGAGGAAGGGCAAGCAGATGCTGAATATTTATTATTTTATTCTTGCTTAATCACCCCACCCAAAAGACGTAGGAAGAAAGATAAATGGCCACCCTTTGTGTAACACCTGTTTTCTGACATATTCCCATTATCACTTAGAAGTAATTTGGAGGTACTTTGCTGTACAAACATTACATATCATCCTGGAAAGAACATATGTAGATCACAGTGTGTTTTATTTATTTCCTTTTCGCTATGTAATTCAAGGGACTTGAAGGTCAGCATGAAACAAGATACAGGAATTCCTGGAGGTCTCTATAAGGACACACTGTTGACTGAGAACCAAAGCATCTATTGATCGTTCATGCATTGCATAAGTGGCACAATTAGAGTGAAGAATTAGATGCTTCCAAGGCTATTTTATTAAGTGTGGTTTCTGAAATTTTAGAAATTGTTACAAGTTCACCTCTTAGTCCCTCATGTTGAACAGAGAGTTGAATACCATGTGTAAAACACTCTTTAATTTATAGATATTGACCAGCATAACCTTGCGGTAGAATCAAATATCAATTTGAAGCCATGTGAAAATGGTTCAGTAAGTACTTTGTGCAACTTGTTGATTTAATTATTAATACAAAGACTTAGACCAGTTAATATTCTTAATTATGATGACAGAAACCAAGGTCAAGGAGGAATTAGCTTTTCGCCAAATGTGATGAGCAAAAAGAATTTCAATCTTACATATACAATTTAATGCCACACAAATTATTCATTCTAATAAACTTGTGCTGAAACTCTAACTTTCATAAAATTCAGAAAAGAATTGTGAGCCTTGTCATAATATAATGGTTATGGCACAGTAACATCTTCCTTCATGTCTTTTCATCGAGTTATTGTTATTAAGCGATTTTAATTATTCCATTGTGAGTGAATTAATACCTTTACAGAGTTGCTTCTGCGTGTCACTTATAATGCTGAGGTTAACTACAGAAGTTGTGGATTATTCATATGAGATGATGTCAAGATCAGTTTTGACTGGATATAAAAGGGCAAATTCAGGTATCAAAAGCACTTCTGACAGGGACAGTCAAGCTCCTCAAGCCTATTACAACAGTGCACTAAAAATCTTCTTTGCTATATAAAAAACTGGATCGAATATATATAGATAGTTGAGAAAGTATTTAATCTGAAAACCACATAATTATAAATGATAGGATAAACTCTTCTCATTTCTGAATGTGTGTTATGTCAGATTAATTTTTGAAATATGTGATTTTTTTTCTACACAGTTATACTGATAAAAGAGCAGAAGCATTTAGTTTTCATATTTCTGGATTAAGAATCAGAAAGACTTGAAAAAGCTGTCAACTAAGAACAGAGTTTTAGCTATGACTATTTCCATGCTTTCAATCAAACATTTATTTTACAAATACCAGCATGTCTCCATATATCATGAAGATATCTACTGCCAAGGGTTTCTCTGTTCATATGTACCTGGGAGAAAGTTTATTTCTTCATGTCAGCAAGAGAAAACACTTGAAAATTGAAATGCTGTCAACTATAACTTCAAGGTTCTATAAATTGATACATATATATATTTCCTAAATCCAGTGTTTACTGTTATTATTATATTATGATAGTTCTTAGAATTCTAGCAGTGGAATAACTATCTACCTCCAAAAATTGTACAGAATGTAGAATAAGAGTAAATGTTGAATATTTTCTCATCCTAATATACAGCTCTGTACTAGACCACAGAATAAGCTACTTCCCTATTCATTTTTTATCACTTAAAATGGCATTTCAACAAGAAACTACCTAATGTGGTTGGGACCCCTTTCACTTATGTCCAGCCTTCTAAAAGTTCAGCATAAGATGGTTATCTAGAAAAATTCTTATGTCAGTCAGACAGGAACACGCTTCTGAGGAATGATTCCTACTATTCCTAAGTGATAAAAATGAGCAATACCCTGGATGTGTACATCTCCAAGTAACCACAGTCTTTCTCCTGATATAAAACACTTTTTTTCCAAAGTCTGCTACAGATTGACTACAGTCAAATCTGTAAAAAAGACTCATAAAATGATATGCTGAAGACATAATGAATAAAAATGAATACCACAGAGGTCTAACTCTGAAACTTTAATAGAAACAGTTGTACTGACTTTAATTTGTTCTTTTTTTGTTTGTTTGTTTGTTTGTTTTTCAGAGTTTACAGTAAATCTTCTAGCATTTCTAATTTTTCCATTGGTCTGTAATGAAAATTAAATGTGGATTTTTGGAAGGGAAAAGCTAAAGTGTGAGATGAGTCTATAACATGAGTCTGACATTTGATTGTTTAGATCTATATATATTCTGTTTTGAGAAGGACAGCAAGACACCCATATTTTCCACGTTGGGATTTCAATTACGGTGATTCAGAAGTGGACAACATGTGCAAATAATCAGCAGGGGCCTGACTGCAAGCATTTGAATGACTAAGTTCCCTGCAGGGTTTGTCCCACATAGTTAGTTCTCAGTTTATAAAGTTAACTACACACAGCAGGGATATTTACCTTTTGGAACTATATCTTGATGCAGTCATTTTCACTTAGGCTAATTACACCATAAACCTACGTCTAAAGTTGTACACAAGACCAGATGCCAGCTATGGCACTTGAATGTTGTCCTAACTATGTGCATTAGCTAAATAAATAAGCACACTTATGGTATTCATAAGCGTATCATATATAATATGTAACAACAGTAAAAATTAACAATTTTTAACAATTACCTTCATGATTTGTTAAGTATCAATGAGTAAAATCAAATTCAATGAAAATGTCTTTCAAGTGAAGAGTGCTCCACTTGTGTTATTTCTTTTACTATACTCACAGATTCAAAGACTGTTTCTCTTTCTTCTCTCCATAGGAAATGATCTGTTTCTAGTTGCTGTGCATGAACTGGGACATGCTCTTGGCTTGGAGCACTCTAATGATCCCACAGCAATTATGGCTCCATTTTATCAGTATATGGAAACTGACAACTTCAAACTACCTAATGATGATTTACAGGGCATCCAGAAGATATATGGTATGTCTCATTTTAATTAGGAAACTTGAACATTTTCACTTAAGAATGTTAGAGAATCTCCTGCTCGGACCATCTCTAAAAAAAAAAATTGTTGGGGCAGCTTCTGCCATTTGCTGTCCCAAAGTCTTCTTTCTGAGGTGGCCAAAGATTATGCTGAAGCTCTTTTACTTGGTTTCTAACTGTTCACAATTTGCATTCAAATTTGCACTCACTTGGAATGGTAATCTTAAAAGTTCCGAAAGACCATAAGGAAAATATCTGCAAAAGGATTCTGATCTTTTAAACTATTAGGGCATGCAAGTTTCAACCATAGTGAGCTTATTTCCGTAGTACTCAAAACTAATATAGTAGTATGAATTGAATACTTCTTAGTTATCAAATGATTGGGAATAATCATTAATTATAATTGATAATATAAATGTAATCAATAATTAAACAGTTCCCTGAATAGATAGGTTTTGAGGTCCAAAAAAACCCTTCTTTGTAATAAGTATAGAAATGAATTCTGCATGAACTTGAGAAGGCAAAGTCAAATCAAAACAATACCTTTGTTCTGCGTATGGGCTGAATCTAAAATTAATACCTGTATTATTGTTTCTGGCATTTCCAAAGCCATAACTTTGTTCCTGATTTTAAAGACCGATTCTGTAGACATTTATTAAACAGTCGGAGGTTTTTTTGGTTGTTGTTTGATTTGTTTGTTTTAATATACATTTTCCTACAATGAAAAAACTGTTCTATCTATACCGAGATATCTGTATAGTCTATTTATGCCATGCATCCAGTATGTGCAATTTGGACCTACCTTGTTTAATATTCTCCAATATATTTTGTATTAGATTTAGTTTTGTGCTCGTGGTTATTTTCACTTTAGAAGCTAAACTGAATATTATTAGGTCCCTTCCTTGCTCATCTATACTGCCACAAAGGACACCTATGTTGGTAGAGAATAACAGTACTGCTAATTAGAACTTTCCTACCACTATTTTATGTTTCATATTAACAAGCTTTTTAAATATCATATCAGCAAGCACTGATATATGTTTTCATAAAGCTTAAAGAGTGGTTTCAAAATGATTGGCTTACCAAGTTTTTTGTTGTTTTTTCCTGTGTGATTAGCTAAAGGGAAGGTTGTTTCTCATGACCTCAGTTGGTAGTCTAGACTAAAAGGCTAGACAACAATACTTTGCCAAAAATTAACCACTAAGCTCTAACAGCTGTGGGCTATACATTAGGAGAAGTGTGTTACCCCTGGGAAGTAATATCTGACATCACTAGCAAATAGCATACGAAAACTTTGGTTTGGGGTTACAATCTTTCCAACACTTGCTACTGCACACTGATTCCTTTGCTCCTTTAAAATGAAAAGATGATTGGGAATCATATGCCACAATAAAAATGTCATGCATATTAAAATAATTACTTTGATCTGCAATCTTCCTCCAAACACCATTATTCACCGTAAATTATAAATGCCACAAACTTTAAAACTGTGAATGAAATAAATGCTATTAAATTGGATGACAATCATTCAGGGAGTTTACTATTTCCTTATATAGTCAATATTTTTCTCAAAAAACTATGCTTATTTTGAATAAATACCAGAAATTCAAAGGACATTTATGCAGTTTTAGGGTTCTCTTATTGTTCAAATGTCTTTCTGAACCTAGTCATGCAAATTATGTTTATATTTTGAAATCAAAAATGATTTTGTACTTAAATGATTTGAAGAGCAAAATAGAATGAGCCAAATTAGCACATTCATCTTGTTTCCAGAAATATCACTGTTCCAATGGGAACTTCCTATCTCTTTACACATAGAAAACATGAGTAAACGTAGTAATACATGTTGAAAGGGAAACTTAAATGAAAGTAAAGCATTATGCAATTAGAATTATAAAAAGCATCTGCCTGGGAAGGCCATTTGACTTTTGAATAGAGAAATTATGAGTGGGACAGTTATTTGCCATCAATTCCTGTATATTATGAACAAAAATGTGCTTGCTAGGAGAAAAAGGTTTTTAAAATATTCTACAATTAGGTTTTCATGTTAGTTATTCCTTTTCAATTTATCTTCAGAAATTCTTTTAATTACTAGGTGTCTAGCTTTGTTAAAATGAAATGGAAATTTAAAATTAGACATAATTAATTTAACTTTGAGGAAAATTTGTGAATTAGAATCTTTGTTTATGTCGATGCCTATGATTTGAATTCCATTTTCAAGAACATTTAGACATAGCAAGGAGTATTGTGGAAAGCTAGGAATATATGCTGAAAAAGATACTAATATGCCTACAAATTGGTCAGCAGTAATTATATAGGCATATACAGGCATATGTGAATTGATAGGTAGAAGAAAAAAGATGGCTTGAAAACATTGGTTGACGATGTTTTGATTAGGAAAGGGTTCATTATTTCATGAAATAGTCAATGATTTGATCTTAAAAATTCTTATTCAGTTGGTACATGCAATGAATTACTTCTCATCTGAAATGATAGTGGAATGTGCATCCTTTGCAGATTTTTGGAAGGATGATACTGAATAGTGAAAAATAATTATTTTCTTCGTTAATGCCTTAGTTCTGTAGCACACCTTCATTATACCCTTTAACAGCATGGGAGTGGCAGGTCACTTTTTTGATTTCCTTTCCACTACACTGGAGGTTTTACACTGCTTAGTATTTTGTTTGTTATTTGTTTATTTTTTCTATTCCTTCTTGAAATGTCACTGATAAGCAAATAAATTATGTTTTGCTGCCATTTATAAAGGTCCACCTGACAGGATCCCACCACCAACAAGGCCTCTGCCAACAGTGCCACCTCATCGTTCGATCCCTCCAGCAGACCCACGGAAAAATGACAGACAACCTAAGCCTCCCCGGCCACCCACTGGTGACAAACCTTCCTATCCTGGGGCCAAACCTAACATCTGTGATGGGAACTTCAACACTTTGGCTATTCTTCGCCGGGAAATGTTTGTTTTCAAGGTAGGAGGCTGTGAATTTTTCAGTGTTACTTCAAGTGTCTACATTTATATATATATTTTTTAAAGCAAGCTCTCATTCACCATGACTCCACTTTCCCAGCCCTCTTGCAGTTAGAAAGTTTGAGAAAGAAATTAGAAAGTAAATATACACATGGCTTAAACATCTAGTAGACGGCTGCTGTAATGTTCTAAAATGGGAAAATGCTTATGTCAGCAGAAACTGTAATGCCTCAAAATGTAAAGGTAAATAAATGCTGCATGTTATGAAGAGATAAAAAAGCATAACTCATAAGTGGGAGGTGGTAAAAATGACTCTGTTGGGAAAACAGCCACATCCAGACATATAGTAGATACTGTATGTCTTTAATTCTGTTTTGTTTTTATTTTGACTGGAGATAAAATTTCAGGTTTACAATTAGGTCAGTCATTTAAAAAGGAAGTACCTAAATAATGTCTTTGTCACAAAAATTAAAAAAAAAAAAAAATTATGGCAGATGTGTCATTGTCTATTTCCATTCATATTCTAGCTCTAAGCTGATAAATGCAGTGTATGCAACAAACTGAACGGAAGAGCAGTCTTTTGATAGAAGGTCTTTGCTAGGGCTCATGAACATCAAAGCCATTTTAGGAGAATGATCTAGGATATTGTATCCAGAAGACATTCAGTGTTGAAGAGTAATTACAGAATCCTTATTATTCGGTGTCTTAAAACAACTTGCTGACAGATTTTACTTTGCAAACATTCTGGAAACGTGCAACAGTATAATCTCTTATTTTGAACTTTTTGTGTGCCAGATGTGCTTCAATAGGAAGTGTAGGACCTTTGTTTTGTAAATCTGTGACATGATTCAACATGAGTGGATTGCAATTTTTTGTTCTAAAAGCACATATGAATTTGTCCTAAAACAGGAAGCTCCAAGTCCAATATTTTTTGTTGATCTTTCTGAGGGGATCCATTTCCCCCATAATATGTTTTCTTTTATGTGCATTATTTCTCCAGATTAATCTCTTTAACAGTACTATCTGGGCTCTTACTGTCTTTAGCATACCTCAAAAACATATTTATTGATAGCCTTGCATGAATTTATTCAAACTTATTAAGCTACATTCACAACTCAATGAGCAGGATTTTTTTTTATTTTTTTATTTTTTTCCCATGAAGATCTAAGGATTTTTCCATCACTGGGAATGTCAGACCTTTTGCTTTGCATCATCTTCAAACTCGAGGAGGTTCTGAATCATGAGTCTTTTATGACTAAAACTCAAAGGTTAAAAAAGAATCTAATTTTCTAACTTGACGTTAAACAGGATATTAAACTACCTACTTCAATCTCATATCATCCACCTCAAGAGCAATAGAAAATACTGTCATTTATTTTAGACATAAATCAATAAATAGTGAAATGCTATCCCACTAACACAAAATTTCCTGTCTAGCCAAGTCTGTATTCCTGGAAAAATAATATTGACCATCATTACTGATCACTCTTTGCTATTCTGATTGAAAAGACTGTATTTTCTTCAAAAAGTGTTAGCTGCTTATTGACCTAACAGTGTATGTTTACTCTATCAGTTATATGCTTACTAGTGTGCAAACTGCCTTTATGTTCTAACAGCTAAAACTTCATTCGTGATCCACACTGGAATGAGGAAACACGGACAAATATTAGAAAGAAACAACCAGAATCAGAGTGTGTACAAGTTTTATGTTTAGAGACTGACTCCAAAATTAGGTTGTTGTTTTCTTGAAAGCAAAGTGTTGAGAAGAGAAGAAAAAGATAAAATTTCTCCAGATTAATTTTTTTAAGAGTCTTGCAGTTCCTTAAAATAATTTCAGAGTATCTGGTAGTATGGCAAAGCTTAACTTGGGTTCTCATGCTAAGCAGTAGGATTAAGTTAAGTATAAAAATCCTGACTTTGTAGTCTGAGTGTCTTTGAATGCTTGCATTAGTAGACTTTAACTTTCTGGTTCAGAAAATAATTTTTTAAGGAAGATTTTGGTCTACTAAAGCAGTTAATTTTGTGGATTTATTTTTTGTTTGCTTTGTTGGTTCTTTTTTTTTTTTTTTTTTTTTTGGTGTTACAGAACACAGAATTGCCAGGGTTGGAAGGGACCTCAAAGATCATGAATCTCCAACCCCCCTGCAACATGCAGGGCCACCAACCTTCCCACCTAATGCTAGACCAGGCTGCCCAGGACCTCCAGGGATGGGGCATCCACAACCTCTCTGGGCAGCCTGTTCCAGTACCTCACCACTCTCTCTGTAA